CCATAAAGCAAATCAATGTAGGAATACAAATAAAAGAAATAACAACAATAACTACAACAACTATCATGAAAAGTCCAAAGCAAATTATGTTTGTTACGATGATGATAATGAGAAAGGACCTGTGTTATTTATGGCATATAATTCAAATATAAAAGTAAATAATGATGATTGGTTTATTGACTCGGGAGCATCAGAACATATGACTCCGAATAGAATTTCATTTTCTAGTTTTAAGCCAGTAAGTGGCAGAACAGTCAAAGTTGCAAATAATCAAACACTTGAAGTTAAAGGAGAAGGTCAAATCCACATAAAAAGTAAAATAGGAAATAAGACAGTTAATATTATGCTAAATAATTGCCTATATGTTCCAGAGATAAATGTTAATTTAATATCTGTTAGTAAATTAACAATTTTAGGCTTTCAAGTTCAATTTACAGATAAGTCATGTAAAATAAGTAAAGCAAATGGTGATTTAGTTGCAATAGCAACAAAGACTGATAAATTATATAAACTTCAATGGTCAAATAAAGAAAGTAATTTACAAGCCTATTCCACAAGCACATATCAAGACAAGACGCCACCGCATATATGGCATCAAAGGTTGGGACATCTCAACTCGAAGTACATGAGGAAGATGAATTCAATGATGGAAGGGTATTACGTCAATAAATATAATCCCAAGCCTTGTGAAACATGTGTAGAAGGAAAAATGGCAACAATACCATTTGAAGAAAGCACAACCAAATCCGAAGCAATACTTGACCTGGTACATACGGATCTATGTGAGGTAAAACAAGTATCGTATGGGAATAGTAGGTATTTCCTTACATTTATAGATGATTATTCTAAGTATTTAACAGTCTATATTATTAAATCAAAATCTGAAGTTAAAAATTATATTAAAAAGTATGTCGAACTAACCGAAAATCAATTAGGTAAAAGAATAAAAACAATAAGAAGTGATAATGGACGAGAGTACATCAACAAAGATGTTCAAAGCTACCTAGAGGACAGAGGAATAGTTAACGAAACGAGCTGTCCAAATACACCTCCTCAAAATGGAGTTGCAGAACGATACAACAGAACTATTTTGGATAAAGCAAGATGCCTAATAGCCAATGCAAAAGCTACTAAACAATTATGGCCAGAAGCAGTGATGACTGCAACATACATAATTAATCGAACTCCGACAGCTTCGATTAAAGATTGCACACCTTATGAAAAATGGACAGGTAACAAGCCTAATATTAAACACATGCGTATATTTGGTTCATTGGTAAAAGCTAGGTACAGCAACAATGAAAAACGAGAGAAGATGGATACAGTGGCGGAATCCTGGATGTTCATAGGATATCCACCAAACCAAAAAGGGTATAAACTATATGATCCAAAAACAAGAAAGGTAAAGATAAGTAGAAATGTAACCTTCTTTGAAAATATAATGTATTATAATCAAGTAGCAGAAGAGAAAATAACTAAAGAACCAAATGAACAAGAAAAGGGATTATTTTATTTATGGTCTGATGAAGAGGACGAATCTCATGAACAAAAAGAAGTAAAATCCATTGTTGAACAAAATATATCTAATCATGAAGAAGAGCCTATGGAATTATCTACTACAATGAATAAAGCCATGATAGAAGAAGGAAATCAAAGCAATTCGACGAGTGAAGATACCGACGAAGAAGAAGAAATAGAAGAACAAATAGATAACCCAAGTAAGAGGCCTCAGAGATCAAAAAGATTGCCAAATCGTCTAAAAGACTATATATTATATACAAGAAGTACGTCAAATGAAGATGAACCCAAAACTTATGAAGAGGCGATGGAATCGCCCAACAGACAAGAATGGATAGCAGCAATGCAACGAGAAATGACCTCTATACGAACTTCAAATGCATTTTTACTAACAGATATTCCAGAAAATAAAAAGTTAATTGATCTAAAATGGGTGTACACTATTAAGAGAAACGAAGATGATTCAATAAAATTGTATAAAGCAAGATTAGTTGCAAAAGGTTTCATGCAAGAATACGGTAAAGACTATACAGATACCTATGCTCCTGTAGTTAAATATACAACAATTAGAATGTTACTAGCAGAAGCAGTTAAGAATAGAGCACAAATTTATCAATCAGATGTAGAAACAGCATTCCTCAACGGAGAGATCGAAGAGGACATACATGCAAACTTACCACCACCATACAATGCACAACATGAAAATAAAGTCTTAAAGATCATTAGAGGATTATATGGACTAAAACAGAGTTCAAAATGTTGGCATAAGAGGTTAATAGAAATCTTACTGAAAATTGGATGCACTCAATTTAAAAGTGATCCATGCGTCTTTATATACAATGATAAAAATAAATACGTCATCCTAGCATTTTATGTTGACGATATGATAATAATTACCAATAGTACAACCCACAAAGATTGGATTCTTGCCCAAATGAATATGTTTATTTGTGTAAAAGACATGGGTAAACTATCTTATATACTAAATATTATGACTTTAACACAAACAAATTACATTAATAAAATACTTAAAAGATTCAATATGCAAAACTGCAAAGAAGTAAAAACTCCATTGGATATTAATGTAAACTTAACAGAATTTGAAAATAATGATCAAGCATTAAGTCCAGAAAGTACTAAATTCCCTTATCAAGAAGCAGTAGGATCAATCTTATATCTCTCACAAACAACTAGACCCGACATTTGTTACGCAGCAAGTATATTGAGTAGATTTAATAGCAATACTAAACAAATACATGTTAATGCAATAAAGCGAGTTTTAAGATATTTACAGATGACTAAGGATCTAGGAATAAAATACATCAAAGACAATATAAATGATTTGAAAGGTTTTTGCGACTCTGATTGGGCTAATGATGTCCAAGATAGCAAATCAATATCTGGACATACCTTCATTTATCAACAAGGTCCAATCTCATGGTTTTCTAAGAAGCAGGATCGAGTAGCTTTATCATCTGCTCATGCTGAATACTTCTCATTAACGCAAGCCTGCTGTGAAGCCATATGGTTGAAATCTTTGTTAAACGAGCTTGACTCATCAAGAAAGAATGAGCCTATTACAATATCGATGGACAATCAAAGTGCTATGAAAATAGCACAACATCCAAAATTCAATAAAACGATGAAACATGTTAGAATCAAATATCACTTCTGTAAGGAATGTATCAAAGAAGGAGATATACAATTAACATATTTGAAAACTGAAGAGATGCCAGCCAATTTCCTGACCAAAGCTGTTAGTACAAATAAACATATATTTTGTGTAAACAAAATTGGACTTTCCAGCAACTGAATAAGAAGACTGAGTGTAACTTATGAACTTTTTCAACATATGAAACTTGTCATATATATATAAACCAGTAAATTTATAAAATGAAACTAATTAGAGTAAATAAAAACTATTGTTTGACTTCTGAAAAAGAAATGTATTATAAACTCTACACTATATATACACTATATAATTAAGGAGGGTATGTTGAATTAGTATATAATTCTATAGTATAATATAGGTACACTCATACATAGTCACACACATACATAGAGAGGCACACATACACTATATATATAATAAAGAAAATGGCTGCCTCAGTTGGGTATGCTCTCTTATGCTAACCACATGTATATCATTTAATAATCCCACTGCATCTAATAACTAACACACTGTAATAACCAAGTATTCGTTCAAAGAAATGGACATGGGGAGTTTTCATTAGACTCATCCAAGCAGCAATTACAAATGCAATTGTAATATTCAATGCTGCCGATAAAGTTAGAACTAAAAAATTTCCAATATTGATAGCAAAAAATTATATTCATAATGCTGACAAGATCAAGAAAAACATAATACTATTTGACAAGATAAACAAAAGAAAGTTTCTATTTGCCTAATAAAAATGTAATGTGCTGTGAGAACTGCAATTTATTTCTTTTGCAGCCCGTGTGAGAAAAAAAAGGATTCAAATGTCTGGATAACAGAGGCAAAGGACTCACTATTAACAAGTACCCTATACAGTCAGAGGTAAAGGAACTTGCTATAAACAAGTACCCCGAAGGAAACATAATTTTACCATATCCACGTCGTTGTCTCTCTGTTACGCTAAGAGTAAAATCTAAATATTAACTAAAAGTAGGTATATTTTATAGGAATTTAAGTAAATTTCTTTATTTCAAGCCTCTTGGAAAATGAAAATACGGTACCCATTTAGACTAACTTATTTTATGAAATTCTAAAAGTTGAAACGGTTGGAAAGAATTCGCACAGAATTTGATAATATTTTACTTGAAAACTATATAGACATTGGAAGGAAATTTATAAAAATAAGCCTTAGAATTATCCACAGAATACTCTAGAATTTTTCCAGATTTTTTTGATAACTTTTCTGGAAATATTAATTTCGTGGATTTTTTTAAAAATCAAAAATTTTTTTTAAATTTAAGTATTTCCTGATACATATTAAAACACTTTTGTTCTATAAAACTATTTCCTAAGCCTCATATTTTTTGAGAAAAACAATGGTAAAGAAAAACGAATTATTTTCAGATTTTTGCATTTTATACGTCATTTTGGAAAAAAGCTTATATATAAAAAATTCCTGTTAAAGTTCAACAATTTTATGCATCAATGGTTGCAGCAAAATTTCGATATTGTCGCGTTTCATGCTAGAACAAAATTGATAAAAAAAAGAATTATTTTAATTCATCATTATTGATTTGTAAAAAGCCCAACATATTTAATTTTGTAAGCATAATTTTTGCATTTTGAACTCGGATTTGTATTCAACATACCCAAAAACATAAAAAACGGTACTTGGATCAATTTATTGTTCCGTTTTACACATAAATTTTGTGATCAAAAACATACTCGTATATACAAAAAATGACGTCTGTAGGCGTTAATGGGTTAAAGAGACTCTTGGTAAATATAAATAATAAATAAGTTCGCAATGATGAATGTTACATACCATTGGAACCCAATCTTTATCCCAGAAAGCTCTAAAAATTTCTTTTTGAAATATTTTCGAACATTCACTATAGAGATCTTCTGTTTGTGCAGCTAATTTCGCAATAACTGAATCTTTCATTTTATCAAATATTGCTTTGTGTGTAAATATTTCTTGAGCTTGTGCCAACATCAAAAGAGAGAGAGCTTCAAGTGTTTCAGGACTCATATCTGGTGTGGGTTCTTGCTGAATAATTAGCATAATATTACTCTTCAAATAACTAAAAATTCCAGCGGCTAGCTACAAGAATTAAAAAACTTTTTTAGACTGGAATAAAATAAATATTAAATTATTATAGATAATAGACAAAATACAGAATTATTAGAGAAAACTGAAATGTGAACAGTTAATTTTTTGACTTAGATGTTTTTAAGACTTCATTATACATTCAACTAATTTATTATTTGCGCATTTCTTATAGTTAATTTCGATATATACGTAGACCTAATCATACCTTCTAAAAATTTAGAATACTGTGACGGGGAAGGGCAGGGAAAAAACAATTCGTTTTATTTCTTCGGCCTCCACGGCCACCAGCGGCATGGTCAGCCGATGATTGCAGCTATGATTTTTTCCTTGGACGCCAGCTACCGTCCTCGCGTTAGGTGGACGAATAGCGCTGTAGGTCGGCTGGCTCTGGTCGCTGAAAGTTGGATAGCTGGTTGTCTTCTCCGCACGCTGACCACCTAGAAGTGTGAGAACTGGAGCGTGAAGTCCTATCTAGCGTGCGGAAGAAAATGCGGACGGTGGCTAGTCAAAATGTCGGGCACGGAAACTCCTTTCAATAGCGGGTCATCGGACCGGTGACTCAAATCAACTCAGCAGCGATCCGGGAATAGTGAAGAGTGGTAAGGGGGGCTGTTCTCTCGCGCACACTAAATGGCGTCGAAGCGTCGACGCGCACTTGCCGGTCCCACGCGGCCCGATCGCGATAGCTACGGGGGAATACGGAAAATTGATCGAGGTTGAGTCAAGAACATTTATCGGGAATTATTATTTATTTAAATAAATTATGAGCTCCCCTGATCAGCTCGAGGTCGACCATGTCATAGGTTGCGGGAGAGAGGAAAAAAGGGAAATAATTAATAGCGTCCGTTCGTCACGTCCCCAACACTATTCGGGTCTTCACGTTCGGCGCAAGAAATCTATCCACGGTGGTCTACTTCGTCCGAATTCCCTGACGAGGTTTGCGGATGGTGCACCGCGACGCGATCGCGATCTGCTTTCGCGGCGATCCGCGCGAAGGTCAGGCGGCACTGGTTAATGCGCAGACGATTTCGGTGATCACGCGATGGTCTGGCGGCACTCCCGTTAATACGCGGACAATCTCGATGAACGCGCGAAGATCTGGCGGCACTGGTCGGTTGACGGTGCACAGTGCTAAAAATTAGACAAAAATCGCTGCAAGTCGTAATTTTTATCCGATTTAAGTCTTTCGGGTTTCAAGCAAAAGTTATTCCTTTTTGGAATAATGTAGGACTACCACGGAAATGATATATAATTCCTGACTAAGTATAAAAAACTAGTATAAAATTCTTCGAACGAGCGTGAAATAACAACAAAAAAAAAGGAGAAAGAAGCTACCCACTTTTGAACGCCCGCCTTTCGCTACCCCTTCGCTATTCATATTATTTTTCAGAAGATAGATCGTTCTTTAAATTTTATTTATGATCCGTTTTACAATTCAGATGGTAAAAATGTACATTCTAAATACAGTTTTACCCCTGTATAACGTAGGGTTGGTAACCCCCAGTGACAAAACCTGTATGGTTATGTTTGTCTTTTATACAAATTTTTTCAATTTTTTTTTGTCGAAAAATAGTCATAAATACCGAAGGTATTGTTGTAACAGTGTTTTAGTGGTGGCTTTTGAGGGTGGTTTTCAGACCCCGAATTCCTTTTCTAGCACAACAAAAGTATAATTCTCTCGTCAATTTTTAAGCGTCATAGCAAATGAAAAATCAGCGAATATGGTAACTCGTAACTATTCATATAGCAATAGGGAAATATTGAATAACGAAAAAACTCGGAAGCTGGTCAATATTATTTGATTATTTTCTAGATGAAAATTTATTTTTTTATTTTTATGGTAATTTCGTGATTGTTTACGAGAAAAATCCAATCAAAAAGGTTGTTCTTTCCCTTTACATCGTAGGGATTGCAACTCCCAGAGAAAAAAACCTATATAGTTAAATTCACTTTTTTATAATGAATTTTTCGAATTTATTGTTGTCGATAAATATTGATATAAACCGAAGATAATGTTGTAATAGTGTTTTAGGGGTAGATTTAAGGGTGGTTTTCAGCCCTTACATTTATTTTCCTACAGACTAACAGTGTCATTGTCCCGCCCACTTTTAAACGTCATCGCATATGGAAAATCAGCATTATTGGTGATCGGCAACTATTTATATAGTATTAATAGAGTTTAGGGGTAGATCATCCTCGAAATACATAAAAATGAAAAAACGCCGAAACACGTCAATTTTAATTTATTATTTCATAGATCAAAATTTATTTTTCAAATTTTTATCATGATTTTGTGATTCTATACACGAAAAATCCACTTAAAAATGTAGTTTTTCTCTTGTACATCGTAAGAATTGCAACCCCCGAGTGCAAAATTATGCGGTTTGGTTATTTTTTAAGTAAGAAATTTTTTCCACTTTGTTTCATCAAAAATATTCATTACAGCCAAAGTTACTGCTGTTTAATTGTTTTTAGGGGTGACTTTTGAGGGTGGTTTTCACCCCCTAGACAGCTTTCTCCGCCGATAAAAAAATACGTGTTTCTTATTTTTTTTATAAAGTATAACGTCTCAATTGCAACAAAATTGAAGGCGGACGGATGGGAATGTTCCCTTGTTAGTAAGCTACGAAATGATAGAAGACAAATCTTGATATTGGATAGATATATGCATTTAATCATTATTTTTGAAAGATTTATCGGTGTACGGTTGATGAGGAGCCAAGGATTTGATAGGTAACAGTATTTAGAAAATGTTCTCTATTGTTTCGTTGAAAGCAACAAAATATAATGCAAAATATAATTAGTTTTAACCAGAAATTACTTTTAAGCCGAGACTTTTTAGGAATTTTATGCTTCAGCATGTTAATGCTTTTGCTTTCCGATGACTATTGACAATCGCAGTTCACTGTGATGACGCTTTTACTTTTAGTCGATGGTTGATTTGTATATATTACTGCTTATATAGTCCCCACAACTTTTTAAATTGTAAACGATTTCCTTCATGTATTTGTCATATATAATCTAATAATTATCTCTTCAGCTCGAAAGTCAATTAAATTTTCGTCTTAATTAGCGATGCCTAATTGAAAATTGTCTCTACACTTTACAGTAACTGAAAGATAAATCACATTAGAGGGAACTCTGATTATTTTATATCCGAGTGGTACTGCAGGAAATATTTCATAAAAATCGTGAACCTTACTCTCATATATATAAGCACCAAAGGTTGTTAACAAAATGAGTATCCGTTAAGATAATCGACCACAAATGAATAGTGAGTTTCAAGATATTTAAAGATGTAAGTCTTGATGTTGCATTGATATACGAATTTCGTTTTATTAATACTATTTTTTAAATGATGTAAGGTTGATGAATATGGACCTTGTAAAGAGACAAGGAGTCATCAAAGATCACACGAAACTGTATTTATAGAATATTCTCTATTATTCCTTTGAAAGTAACAAAAGATGATGCAAGTTACTCCCAACCAGCAATGCTTTTTAAATCGAGACTTTTTAGAAATTCTACACTTTTACGTGTTAAAGATTTCCGAGAAGACGATTGATGATTGGAGTTTGTTGTGGTACCTTTTTCACTTTCAGTCGACAACTGAAGATGACCTTGCATATATCACTGCTTATATAGCCCCTATTGCCGTGAATTTCAAATTCACCGCGAAAATTTACTAAATTTCTGTCTTGATCAATGCTCCGTATCTATAAATAATGCGCTTTACAGTAGCTAAAAGATAAATTACGGGTGAAGGAACTTCCATAATCTTATAACCAGATAGCAAAAAAAAACAGTAAATAAAATTCATAAATATCGTGAACTTTGTTTACGTTTATATACGTACAAGAAGTGATATTGCACTGAATTCTTAAAGCGTTAACTTTGAGAATCACAACTGGAATATCAGAGTTGTGATCGATGTTTTCGTTTAGCTTAAATAGTACAAGAAATCCCAGTACTCGATCTATGAAATCTTGCTCTCTGCTAATTGCTGTTTTGGAGACTTTGCATCTTTCACAGCTTTTGTGATTCCCACGCTTCTACTAGTTAGAACATCAGTTATATACAAACCTACCAAAAGTGAAATGAGGAAGAGCAAAGTCCCACCCGTCTTCGTCGATATTGGTAGAATTCGTGGAACGTTGATGTTTGTTATTCGACCAGCATTTTTAACTGCATTTTAAGCGCTTAAGAAAAATATTTTGTTAGGTGCTTTTTTTCAAAGACAAAACAAAAAATTAGTTATTTTCCATGTACCGATAATAAAAATTTTACTTGAAAAATCAAAAAGCAGTTCGTAATTTATTTTAACAAAGAAAAAACTATGTAGTTCATTTATATATGAAGTTTTATTATTTTATTATACAATAAAAAGTACAACAAAAAAATAATTCAAGTCTGAACGATCTGTTGAATAACTTATGAAGTACGTTTTAGTGTGAAAGTCAAGCACATGTATAATCAATAATATTATTAAATATGTGAAGCGTTGTAATCACATAAAGTACATAATAGTTTTACAGAGTATTCAGGGTGAATGGCTGATACTTTGTATCTGTAATACTTAGCTTTACTTTTGACTTTATTTCATTAATATAAAGAGTTTGAAAACAAATTTCTATTGTTCTATATGAACCACAAGTATTTAATTCATTTATAGATGAAGTACACCACGTACACCAATGCGTACTTAAATTCGTCATCAAACCAGTAAGAATAGTGGCTAATTTTAAATCAGTAGAAACTGTACCAAAAACATTCAATTATAAAGATGACCAAATCATTTACACATTTATGTAATTTTCTTGAGGTGAAGGTCATAAAAAAATTATGAATAATTTTTAAACTTCTGATTCTTTAAGAGTTTTATTATGATGGTTTTTATCCTCACTAATAATCGTTTTATAGCTTTCATTTCCAATTTTGATGTGTAGATTCTTGAAACTTCGATGGTCAATAATGTAATAAATAAAATTGGA